CCGTTCCCCATCAACCCGGGCCTTCCTGTTAACCCCTTTTCCGTCACCCCTTTTTTTTACGTTTTTTTTTTTCCCCCCAAAAAAACCCCATCAAAAACCAAAGGGGAAGGTCCAACAAAAACCTTTCCCGCCCCGAAAAAATTTTTTTTTGGAAAAAAATTGTTTTTTTTTAAAAAAATTTCGTTTTTTTTTTTTGGCAATTTTTTTTTTTTCCCGGGTTGTTTTTTTTAAAAATTTTCTTTCCTTCTCCCTTTTTTTTTACCTTTTTTCCTTTTTTTTTTCCCCCCCCCGGTTTTTTTTTTTTAATTTTTTTTCCGGGGCCCCGGCCCAATTCTTTCTTTGTGGAATTTTGTAAACCAAAAAGAAACAGTTTTGCGAGCCCGGGAAACCCCACGGGGCAAAAGCTGAACGCCTTTCCCGTCCAAAGTGCTGGTGGGTTTCAGTCCCTCCCCTTTTCCCAATTTGGTTTGGGCTAAAACACCTTTCAGAGAAATGGGTGGGGTTTTGCCGCCCGGGTGGAGATTTAAAAACCCTCATTTCCTTTACCAAAAAGGCAAATGCCACCCCACATTCACATGTAAAGACCCTGGGGGCCAGTCTTTTTAGCATTTTCGGGGTTTTTCTGCCAAAGTGGGACTCCAAAAGGGCCCAATTTTTGGAAGCCTTTAAATACGGTTAGGGGCAGTACATGTCAAATTTCCCGGGGCCCACTTTTGTGAAAGTGGGGGGCCGGGCACAGCCGCACCAAACCACTTTTGGGGAAAGGTCACGCCCCCTTTTTTCCTCCACGTTTGCACGCCTTTGGTTTCCGGCAAAAGGTTTTCCCCCCTCTCCACCCTCTTTTCCGCCGGGGTCCCCAGCCGCCACCCCCCCCCCTTTTCCAAAATCCCATTACCCCCCCCCGGGGTTTTCACAGTGCAGGGGGGCAAACCGGGGTCACGCGGTTCGGGACCTGGGAAGCCCTTTGGGGAACGGTCCCAAAAACGGGGGAACTTCTGAGTGTAATTGGGAAGAGAGAAAAACGACAGATGGATGTTTTCCCCCCGCAAACTGAAAAATCCCGGAAAACCCTGTTGACCGACCCAAAGGAAAAGAAAAATGGTTGGGGTTCCCCGCTCTGGGCAAGGAAAAATTGTGCCATGGCCATGCATGGCTCAAAGTGTTCAATTTTGGTTTTCCCAACGGGTTTTAAAAAACCACCTTTCCCCCCGCAAAAACACCTTTTAAAATTTTCCGTAAACCTTTTTCATGCATTTCAGCCCCTTCCAACACCGCAAAGCAAAACCCTTTTTTGAGCTCAGCGGCGGCAGAACGGGAAAATTCCACATCCTCGCCCGATCTTTCGACGTTGTTTAAAAGGTGGAAATTTAAACCCTACACATGTTAGAAAACCCCCTTTTCGACAAACGAAAAGGGCCATCACCGATTTCCTTATGTTACAAACGGATAAAGGGACTCCCCCTGTGTTAAATTTGATGTCAAGCCCCTTTGGCCAGCTCATCGGGGACACCTGCCGTTGGCTCAGGCCCTTTGAGGAAAGGGCCCCGCTATTGTGGTCGGCAGGGGGTAAGGTATGAAACGTCAAATTTCCCCTGTTGCACGTCCTTGAACAAAATTGGGTTTAACAATGCTTTGGCAGGGTGCGGGTAGCGTGGGGCACAGATTTTCCGCCACCGGGGCCCCTGTGGGGGCAGGGCAGGGAAAAAAAAGAGGAGGGGAGGTAGGGAGGACATTTTGTGTCCGGAAAATTTTTGTGGGTGAAATGGGTGGTTTTTCCCCCTAAACGGACACATTAAGGAGGAAACCCGGAGCAAAAGGGAGAGGAGGGGGAGGAGGTAAAACAGAGGGCCCAAAACGCCCCCCGTGGCAGTATGCTTTTGGGGGATGGAGGGGAAAGGGGTCCCCCGCATTCCTTGGCACAAATGGCCCTACCCCTGGGTCGGTTTCTTCGCTAGGACAGGGCCCAAAAAAACCATCGAAAAGGGGATGACTTTTTGGCTGTCCCCCTTGTTTGGGCCCTCGCTAAACCGTTTCCAAAAAAGGTTTGGGCCCTTTTTTAACCTGGGTGAGAGGGAAGGGCCAAAAAAACGGTTTCCATAAAAAAAACCCCCCCTATGTAGGGCAGTTTTTGGGGCCCCTGCCTTTTTGGGGCCCAAATTCCATTTCCCCAACACTGTGGGCCCCGTTTCGCTCGGCCCTTCCGCTTTCCATGGCAGCAGGGGGGGAGGGGTTGGGTGGTAGGAGCATTCAGCTCCACCAGCAGGGGGCTTTCCCAGTCTCAGTCGATGATGAGTACTTTCTTTACCAAACGCAGTGAAAAGGGAAACCCACTAACCAGCCGGGGAGGGGCAGAGCAGCCCCATTTAAGGGGGGAACCCGGAGCAGGACCCAAACAAAAGGCTTGGGGCCTATTTGGGCAGCAAACCCACCAACCGAGGAGACCAAAATCCCCCTTTATCAACCCCGGGCAACGAAACTTTGAAATTTTGGGCCCCAACTAGTGAAATTGCCCTTTTTAAAGGTGTCATGGCCCCGGCCCAGTAGCGTGGGGATCGGGCGCGTGTTTTTTTGCGGCAGGGGGTATTGTAACTCCGCGGAGGACACGATTTTCCACCCAAAGGGTGGAGAGACTCAAATTTGTGAAAATGAATCAAAGGGGTGGATTTTTGGATTTCAAACCAAACCCGTTCTGACACAAACTGCCCAAAACCCCAGGAAAAACATTTCCCCAAACATGTGCCACTTTAAGGTCTCCTTTAACATTGGTGTGGTTTTAATTTTTGGCATAGGGTGGCAGATTACGGGCCCCCCATAGGCTGAAGGCCAGGGCCCTAAAAATTTTAGCCATAGGCCCCCATATACCGCCTCCTCATGCTTTCCCGGGGCCCGGTCCAGAGTTTCTCAAGGGTCCCTGGGAAAGGCCTTCCCCTTGCTGCTGTCTTGCCAACGCCACTCTGCCCATGGTGCCACTTTCCCGGGGCTCCTCAAACCCCTTTGGGGTGGGTGTTTTTTTGAAAATTTTTGGGGCAAAAGGGTTTTGGCAGATTACGGCCCCCCCTTTGCTTGCTGCCCCGGCCCCCAATCCCGCCATGGGCCCCAAAATACCCCCCTCCTCATGCTGCTGCCAAGTCCGGAGTCTTTTCCCTGGGGGCCCTGTTCCGGCCCCCTTGCTGCTGTCTCCCTCGGCCCCACTTGGCCCTGGGGGCCACTTCAGGTCCCCCTCACACTGCGGTTGGGAGAATTTTTTTGGGAAAAAGGGGGCTGGCAGATTAAAGGGCCTTTCCCCTAGCTGCTGCCAGGGCCCCAAAACTGCCCTAGGGCCCCCATATACCCCCCTCCCCAGGGGGGCTGGGCCCGGTCCAGAGTCTTCATGGGGCCTGTACGGGGTCCCAATTTTAGCCCGGCTTTCCCTCGCCACACCGCCTTCCCTGTTTCCACTTTAAGGGCCTCCTCACACACTTGGCCCGGTTTTTTTTGAATTATTTGCCCTAGGGGTGCTGGCAATTTCGGGCCTCCCCCTAGCTTTTTTTCCAGGCCCCCTAATCTGCCATAGGCCCCTTTTAACCGGGCCCCCTCATGCTGCTGCCCCGGTCCCGAGTTTTCTTTGGGGCCCCCGTACGGCCTCCCTTGCTGCTGTCCCATCGCCCCTACTCTGCCAATGGCCCTTTCAGGTCTCCTCACACACTGCAATTTTTGTTTGGGTTTTTTGAAAATTTGGGGCTGGCAAAATTTACGGGCCTCCCCTAGCTGGGTGCCCCGGGCCCCTAAATCTGCCATGTCCCCTATATACCCCACCGGCCTCCTCATGCTTGCTGCCAGGTCCACAGTGTTCCTCATGCCATGTTCCACCTTTCCAGGTCTTCTCACACTGCTTGGTGTGATTTTATGTTTTTATTTTTTTATTTTTTTTTTTTTTTTTTTTTTTTTTTTTTTTATTTATAGGTTTTTTTTTTTTTTTTATTTTTTTTTTTTTTCTTTTTTTTTTTTTTTATTTTGTTTTTTTTTTTGTTTTTTTTTTTTTTTTTTATTTTTTTTTTTTTTTTTTTTATTTTTGTTTTGTTTTTTTTTTTTTTTTTTTTTTTTTTGTTTTGTTTTTTTTTTTTTTTTTTTTTTATTTGTTTTTTTTTTTTTTTTTTTTTTTTTTTTGTTATTTTTTTTTTTTTTTGTGAAAATTTTTTGACATAGGGTGCTGGCAGATTAATGGGCTTCCTATAGCTGCTGCCAGGCCCCTAATCTGCCATAGGCCCCTAATACCGCCTCCTCATGCATGCGCCGAGGAGTCCAGAGTCTCTCATGGGTCCCTGTACGTCCTCACCATTGCTTGCTGTCTCCATACGGCCACATCAACTCTGCCATGTGCCACTTTCAGGTCTCCTCACACTGCTGGTGGTGTAGAAATTTATTTTGACATATGTGTGATGCAGATTACGGGGGCCCCCCTCGTAGAGCTGCTTAGTCCCAGGCCCACTAATCTTGACATGAGGCCAAGTATATACCGACTCCTCATGCTGTCTGCCAATGTGTCAGGAGTCTCCGTCATGGGTTTTCCCTGTACGGCCTACCATCTGCTGCTGTCATCCATCGCCACACACTCTCGCCATGTGCCATCTTTGTCAGGTGTTCTCGCTCACACTGCTGGTGTGTAGAATTTTATTGACATAGTGGTGCTGGCAGATTACGGGCCGCCAATAGCTGCTGCCTGGCATCCCTATCTGCCATAGGTCCCCTATGATAACCACCCACCGCCTCCGTCATGCTGATCGCCAGGGTCCAGAGTCTACTCATTGGGTCACTGTTACGGCCTATCCCATTGCCTGCGTGTCTCCAGCGCCACTCTATCTCCCCATGTGTCTCACATTTTCAGCGATCTCCTCACACACAATGAAGGTGTGGTGGAATTTTTTTGACATAGGGTGCTGGCAGATGAACGGGCCGCCCATAGCTGCTTTCTGCCAGGCCTCTGATGTCTGCCAATAGGCTCCCATATATACCCGTCCTCCTCATAGCTGCTGCCAGGTCCAGAGTCCTGTCACTGGGTCCCTGTACGGCCTCCCATTGCTGATGTCTCCAGATCGCCACACTTCTGCCATGTGGCCTCTTTCAGGTCTCCTCACACTGTCTGCGTGTGGTAGATTAGAATTTTAGTGGTTGGCACATGTGGTGCTGGCAGATTACGGGCCTCCCTTATAGCTGCTGCCAGGCCCATAATCTGACATAGGGGCGCCCCCTATATACCCGACCTCCTCGATGCTGCTGCCATGGTTCCCATGAGTCTCCTCATGGGTCCCTGGTACGTGCCTCCCCATTGCTGAGCTGTCTCCATCGCCACACTCTGCCAACTTGTGCCACCTTTCAGGTCTCCACAATCACACTGCTGGTGTGGTTTCCAATTTTTTGACATAGTGGTAGCCGATGAGCAGAGTAACGGGCCTTCCCCATAGCTGCTCGCCAGGCCCCTAATCTGCCATGGGTCCCCTAATACCGTCCAGCTTCATTGCATGCTGCCAGGTCCACAGTTTGTCCCTCTCATGGCCATGTGTGCCGACTGTCAGTTGATCTCCTTCACACTGCTGGTGTGGTTGAATTTTTTGACATATAGGGTGCTGGCAGATTACGGTCCTCCCATAGCTGCTGCCAGAGCCCCTTAATCTGCCACTGTGCCCCTACTAAAAAAACCGCCTCCTCATGCTGCTGCCAAGGTCCAGAGTGTGTCATGGGTCCCTGTAACGGCCGTCCAATTGCTGTCTGTCTTCTACATAGCCACACTCTGGCCGATGTGGCCACGTTTCAGGTCTCCTCACACTGCTGGTGTGTAGTTGAAATTGTTTTGTGACATTGGGTGATAGGCAGATTACGGGGTCCTCTCCCATTGCTGCTGCCAGGCACGTAATCGTGCCATGGGCCACCCCGTTTTTTTAAACCCAGTACTCGAAGCTCCTCATGCTGGTGTGACGTAGAAGTGCAACAAGGTTGGAATTGTCAACCCTACATAATGTTACGAACGACTTTAACGAAGACCTAGCGGAACGGCCATCAACCGATTTTCCTGATGTTAAATAGCGGATAAAGGTACTCCCTGAGGTACACGTTAGATGTCTGCCATGTGGTCTTGCTCATGAGTGACACCTGCGCTTTGCTCTGGCCCTTGGAGGAAAGGCCTACGCTATGAGAAGTGAGTCGGGCAGGACTATGGGATGAAACGACGTCATTCCTCTTGTTGGCACGTCCCTGGAACAAATGCTGTTAACAATGTGCTGGTATCAGGAGTGCGGTAGTCGTGGCGTCACAGATTCTCAAGCGCCATACAGATGGACCCCTGTGGGTGCAGGACAGGAAGAAGAGGAGGAGGGTAGAGGAGGACATTGGTGCCTCAAGGAATTATTGAGTGTAAATGTGGGTGTTTTTTCCACTCAGCGTACTAGGAGTGGAGGAGCGAGGAGCAATCAGGGTAGAAGGGAGTGATGAGGAGGAGGACTAGAGGACCCAGAAGCGCACCGTGGCTAGTATGCTGTGGGCTGAGATGGATGAGCAGGTGAAGTCCCTTCCGCATTCCAATGGCACAAATGTGTGCCCCATAGCAATGCTCGCCATTGCTTGTGCGTAAGCGACAGTCCGAAGATAATTAGACCATCAGACAGCGGGAGTGACCTATTTGGGCTGTTCCACCTTGTTTGGACCCTCTGCTACCGTTTCGCAAAAAATGGATTGGCCTTTTTCACACACTGCTGGTAGAGAGGGAGTTCCAAAATAACGTACTATATAAAAACCACCTATGGCAGTCAGCTGGTCTTCTGGGCCTGTCTGCGCTCCAACGTCCATCGGCTCAGACACTGTGGTCCCATGTGCGCTCCAACCGACGCGTTTCCGCTAGACAGTGGCAGCAGGGAGGGGGTGGGGTGGTGTAGGAGCATTGGCAGCATCCACTTACCATGCTCGCGGGCTCTTGCCTCATGTTCTGCAAGGAGATGATGAAGTAGCTTTCGCTTCACCAGCGCAGTGAGGAAACTAACTAACACTGCATGGGCAGCAGACAGCAAGCAGCAGCGAAGCAGCAGCATGTCAGCGTGGACCTGCAGCATGACCTCAAACAACAAGGCACTTAGGCCTACTTGGGATCTGCACCCTGGCCAACCGTGGTAGACAAAGATCCCCTTGACTACAGGGGCAAAGAAAACGTGACCAGTTGGGCCCCAACTAGCTGAAATTTTTTTGCCATTGAAATGCTATGTCATGCCCGGCCAGTAGACGTGGCAATCATCGGAGCGACGTTGTTTAGTGCGGTCAGGAAGGTATTGCAGACTCCGCGTAGGACACGGGACGGGTCCACCCAAAGTGGTGGGAGAGACTGACGTTTGTGAAAATGAATCAGGCGTGGATTAGTCTGGATTTCAAACCACCAGTTTCCTGACACAACTGACTAAATCCGCCATGAATCATGCCCCACAAACATGTGCCACTTTCAGGTCTCCTCACACTGCTGGTGTGTTTCCATTTTTTGTCATAGGTGCTGGCAGATTACGGGCCTCCCATAGCTGCTGCCAGGCCCCTAATCTGCCATGGGCCCCTATACCACCGCCCTCCTCATGCTGCTGCCAAGTCCAGAGTCTCTCATGGGTCCCTGTAACGGCCTCCCATTGCTGCTGTCTCGTCCATCGCCACACTCTGCCAATGTGCCACTTTCAAGTCTCCTCACACTGCTGGTGTATTCCATTTTTTGTCATAGGGTGCTGGCAGATTACGGGCCTCCCATAGCTGCTGCAGGCCCCTAATCTGCCATGGGCCCCTATACCTCGCCTCCTCATGCTGCTGCCATGGTCTCAGAGTCTCTCATGGGTCCCGTACGGCCTCATCCATTGCTGCTGTCTCCATCGCCACACTCTGCATGTGCCACTTTCAGGTCTCCTCACACTGCTGGTGGTATTCCATTTTTTGTCATAGGGTGCTGGCAGATTACGGGCCTCCCATAGCTGCTGCCAGGACCCCTTCTAATCTGCCATGGGCCCCTATACCCAAAACCGCCTCCTCATGCTTGCTGCCAGTGGTCCAGAGTCTCTCATGGGTCCCTGTACGGCCTCCCATTGCTGCTGTCTCCATCGCCACACTCTGCCATGTGCCACTTTCTTCAGTGTCTCCTCACCACTGCTGGTGGGTTACATTTTTTGTCATAGGGTGCTGGCAGATTACGGGCCTACCCATACTGCTGCCAGGCCCCTAATCTGCCATGGGCCCCTATACCGCCATCCTCATGCTGCTGCCGAAGTCCAGAGTCTCTCATGGGGTCCCTGTACGAGGCGCTCCCATTGCTGCTGTCTCCATCGCCACACTCTGCCCATGTGCCACTTAGTAGGTCTCCTAACTCACATGATGCTGGTGATAGGCCATTTTGTTGTCATAGGGTGCTGGCAGATTACGGGCCTCCCATAGCTGCTGCCAGGCCCCTAATCTGCCATGGGCCCCTATACCCCGCCTCCGTCATGCTGCTGCCAGGTCCAGAGTCTCTCATGGGTCCCTGTAACGGCCTCCCATTGCTGCTGTCCTCCATCGCCACACTCTGCCATGTGCCACTTTCAGGTCTCCCTCACACTGCTGGTGGGTTCCATTTGTTTGTCATAGGGTGCTGGCAGATTACGGGCCGTCCCATAGCTGCTGCTCCAGTGCCCCTAATCTGCCATGGGCCCCCCCGTACCGACTCCTCATGCTGCTGCCAGGCCCGTAATCTGTCATGGGCCCCTGTTGTCCGCTTGTTGGCATATTCCGCTCGTTCAGATGCTCCTTCTCCTGCTACTCCTCTTCACGGATTCCGTCAGCAGTCTTTCTTTGGAAAACCGTTTCCAAGAGACAACAGTTTGCGAGCACGCACCAGACGGTGCAGAAACTCTGAACGTCCTCCTGTCCAAGTTGCTGCTGCCAGGCTCGTAATCTGTCATGCGCCCCTGTACCGCCTCCTCATTGCTGCTGCCAGGTCCAGAGTGTGTCATGGGCCCCCCGTACCGACTCCAAATGCTGCTGCCAGGAGGCCCGTAATCTGTCATGGGCCTTGCACCCTAATACCCGCCTAGCCATCCCCATGATGCTGCCCAGGTCCAGATTGTGTCATGGGTCCCAAGTTAAACGGCCGTCCCCATTGCTGCTGCCAGGCCCCCCCGGTAATCTGCCATGGGCCCCCGTACCGAGACTCCTCATGCTGCTGCCAGGCCCGTAATCTGCCATGGGCCCCTGTACCGCCTCCTCATGCTGCTGCCAGGTCCAGAGTGTGTCATGGGTCCCTGTACGGCCTCCCATTGCTGCTGTCTCTCTATCGCCACACTCTGCCATGTGTGCCACTTTCAGGTCTCCTCACACTGCTGGTGGTTTCCATTTTTGTGTCATAGGGAGCTGTATGGCCTCCCATTGCTGCTGCCTCCACCGCCACACTGTGGCTCCACACTCTGGTTTTGGCCCCCCGTGACTGCCCAAATGAGTGAAGTGCGGTGATTCTAAGATCGACGGCACTCATCTGCATGTCATAGTGCAACTGCCTGACAGTATTATTTTCTCTTCCCCAGCAGACTCCAAGGGCATTTAAATTAAAGGTACAGTGTTTTCAGCACTAATATTAAGTTCTCTCTGAAGCCTAGAAACACCCTTTTTTTTAAGTTAAATTCACAGCGAATATATTCGACTCGAATCAAAATTTTTTCCACGAATTCGCCGAATCAGTCGAATCGAATTTTTGAATACTTCGCCTCATCTCTAATCTTTACTAGAATTGTAATCATTGTACAGTACATTTTAAATGTTGAATATGGATGGACAGGATTAAGGCTGGTCTGCAAATATAACCACTTGCCCTCCAGAGGATTTACCCTCCTTCCTGACCAGGCCCATTTTCTGGCATGGTGTTATTTTAACTGACAATTGCACGTGTCGGAGAAACGCTGCACCAAATGTAATGTAGGCCCTTTTTTTTTCCACAAATAGAGCTTTCTTTCGGTGGTATTTGATTTTTTTATTTTTGCGCTATAAAAAAAAAAGACCGACAATTTTTGAGATAAAAACAATATTTTGACTTTTTTGCTTTTAAACATGTGTCCATTAAAAAATGTAAAAAAAACAAATGTCCTCATAAATTTAGGCCAAAATGTATTTGCTTGCTACATGTCTTTGCAAAAAAAAATCCCAATACATCTAAATTAATTGGTTTTACGTGAAAGTTAAAGCCTTTACAAATGGCAGCATAATATACTACTGGAATTTTTTTTTTAAATTTTTACTAGTAATGGCGGTGATAGAAGCGACTTATAGCGCGGACTGTGGGGACTCGCAGCGGGCATTCTGACACTGGGGGGAACTGACTTGGTGTCACTGACATCCTCTCAGTGACACCAATACAGTGATCAGTGCAGGGGCGGACTGACCATTCGGGAACTCGGGCACTGCCCGAGAGCCCTGGGTCAGTAGGGGGCCCCATGAGATGCCCTTGGTACCTTTCATAGGCTTTTTTTGGGTGTGGTTTGAGTGTGGGTGAGGACACAGGGGCCCCATGATCTCCTATTGCCCTGGGGCCCCATGGGTTGTCAGTTCGCCCTGGATCAGTGCCAATAAAAATTACTGACACTGTACTAATGGCACTGGGCAGGAAGGGGTTAACACGTGTTGGGCGATAAAAGGGTTAACTGTGTGCTGTTTTACATGATGCTTTGTGTTTGTGCTTCACTGTAAGCACACTGTGTCAGGAATGGACTTGCCAGTAATGGTGGGACTCACCTGCCTTGTGGGCTGCAGTACCAGGGCTGGCCAGCGGGTGCTTCCAGCAATCAGAGGCTCAACCTGCAGCCAGCCAAACACCTGAAGTTGATTATGCAGGTGTATTTAAGGGATGGCCAGACCTGCAGTCTCTGCCTTGGTGTGTGTTTTTCCTGGGCCCTGTATCTTGTTCCTGCATCCCTGTCCCTGTCCGATCCGTTGCTGACCCTGCCTGATCCGGACCTCTGCTGACTTCTCCTGTTTTATCCCTGGCTTGTGACCCCGACCATTCTCTGCCTGACCCCCTGTACCTACAGTACCTGCCCGATTGTTATTGACCCGGCCTGCCTGACGACGCTTGCATTGTATGTACTGTTATCTGTGGGTGGTTTGGTTTGGTTAGTTTGCACTGTGTTATGTTTTAGTATTGCACTGTGTTTATGTTTGTATTGTTAGTCTTTAATAAATTATATTGTTTATAACTTATCTGAAGCCTATCAGTCACATACCTCTGGTCACACCCCGGAGCCCTGACATTACACCAAGGCCAATCCTGACCAGAAGTGGCTGCACAGGGAAGCCATCTTGGCTTGTTGCTGGGAAGGATGGATCTTGATGAGGTTGTGTATTTATCTCTGCTAGTGTTTGATGACAGAGAGTATGCTTATCAAACTCTGAAGGAGTATCCCCGGGATGAACTACTAGAATGTATACGGATCGCTCATTGCCTAGTAGATCAGGGCACAGAGTTCTCTGAGGTGCAGCCATTGATTCAGGTTTGTGCTGAGTTGGTTTCATCTGGTTCCCCCGAATGCAGGGATGAATTTTTGCCGCCATTTAGTGCCGACCAGGTAGTGTCCCTGGTATGGTTATTAGAGGATGATGTGGATTACTTTCTGGAGCGTTATTCCACATGTTCACCACAGATACTAAGAGATTGTATAAACGCAGTGCAGTCTTTGGTCAGACAGGCTTTGTGTAAGCTGAGCTTTGTTCAACCCATACTGCAGACATGGTCAGACTTGTTACACCCAGCCTCAGTCAGCTTGCAAAAACCCAGTGCTGCTTCTAATCTATTTCTTCAAAGCTCTATTCCTGCAATCCCAACAGCACCTCCAGTTACAGCCCAGTATACCCTGTGTCAGGGATCCCCTCGATCCCCGCCGCGATGGTCCCGGCGCAGGCGCAGTATGCCGCCCTGTGCAGGGACGCGGGCTCTAGGTCCGGGCCGGCCGCGGCGCGTGAGTTCGCGCATATGCGCAATAGGAGCCGCGGCCGCCCGCTGGGCACCAATGGCAGCGCAGGGGCGCGATATTTAAACGGCCCTGAGCTGTCATTCAGTGCCTTCTGGTCTTGTCCTTGCCCTGTATCCTGTATCTGAACCTGAACCTGTAAGTTGCTGACCCTGGATTGTACCTGACCACTGCTGAATTCTCCTGCCCAGACCCTTGCTTTGCCTGACCTCTCTTCCGTATGTCCCCTATTGGATTTGACCTACTGTTGATGACCTGGCGTGTGACCCGACTATTCTCTGCCCGCTGCCTTGTACCGTGCTGTCCTCCCCGTTACCGACCCGGCTTGCCTGACTCTGCACTTGCTCATCCATCCATCCATCCATTCCTCTCAGCGGGGTTCCCAGACCTCCTCATATCAGGCTCTCTCCCGTGGGAGCCCCTGGCGACCACCCCTACCACTGACGGGTGCCCTCAGTAAGCACGACCTGGTCCCGGGGTACTCCAAGTCCATCCCCACCATCAGGGGCTCTGGTGAACAAGTACTCTGGGACTTAGACTCCGTGCGCTGGGGACGCCTGATTAGTGGAGTGCTAGTGGTGTCGCCAGGCGGTCCCTTACAGTACCAGAAGGCCATGACTGAGCCTAGAGGAGGGCCCTCCCCGCTGGAAGAAATTTGCAGGCATCTATCTAACCTGACGCAGGCCGTAGCAGCCCTGCAGGATAAATGCATGCAGCTGGAGCACCGCTTCCAGACCTGCTCCCTATCTGACCCAGCCCCACAGGCCCCAGTTTCTGCACCCCCGGCTGCTCTTGAGCCAGCATCAGGGGCCTCCGCCCCGCCACCTATGGCGGAACCCCGGGTACCCCTACCGGAGCGTTTTCACGGGGAACCGCACACGCTTCAGGTCATTCCGTGAGTCCTGCCTCCTATTTTTTTTAAACTTCAACCCCGTACCTTTTTGACCGAATCAGTGAAGGTGGGATTTATAAATCTCACTGTTGCAGGGCGAACCCCAAGATTGGGCCCATCGGTTAAGGGGAAACAATGACCCACACCTAGGAACAGTCAAGGACTTCTTTGAGGCGATGGCCATCCTATATGATGACCCGCAGCGGGCTGCTTCTGCCGAAGCAAATCTTATACACACTCCGACAGGGCCGTCGGGCGGCCGAGGAATACGCCTCAGATTTTAGGCGCTGGATGGGGGACACTCGCTGGAACGAGTTTGCTTTGTTGCACCAGTTCCGCATGGGGCTATCAGAACCCCTAAAGGATGAGCTGGCCCGGTAGAGGTTCCTGAGTCATTAGAGGACCTAATTGCCCTGACGATAAAGATTGACCGACGACTGCGGGGAACGCAGGTTTGAGAGGTCCGGCCAGGGTCGTGGAAACAACTGGGGTCCATTCCTAGGCCCCAGCCAACCACCTAGACCAAGTATCCAGAATCCACTCCCAGGAGATGTTCCAGAACCCATGCAACTAGGCCTGGCTCGACCCAAATTATCGCCAGAAGAACACCAGCGGAGACGCTCGCAGAACCTCTGCCTCTACTGCGGGGAAGCCGGTCATATGGTACGATCCTGCCCTCAGAAAATGAGTAAGTGTACTCTTTTTCTTCCTTGTCTATTGGCAATGTCAGTCCTTCCCAATACTTAGTTGTACCCCTCTCCTTTCAGCTCCCCGAAAGGACGTGGAAGTGACAGCCATAATTGATTCGGGGGCATGCAGTTGTTTTCTGGATTTAGACTTTGCTCGTCAGCAGAAAATTCCCCTCCAATCCAGAAAGAGGGGTTTTAACATATTTTTGGCCGATGGTTCCCAGATAAAATCAGGAGTGGTTAATCAGGAAACTCCCCCCATTGCCACTACCATTGCCAACCAACACCGGGAATTCCTCCGCCTGGATGCCATTGCGTCACCTCTGTTCCCAGTCATTTTGGGGCTCCCTTGGTTACGGGCCCATAACCCCCAAATTGACTGGGAAACCGGGTCAATCTTGTTCCCTTCCCCATACTGTCAGGAACACTGCCGCACTTCAGGCCCGGCAGGCCCCCAGGTCCTCCTATGCTCCGAGGGGGATTCTGATCTGAAACAGGTTATTCCCACAGAATATCATGAATTCCTGGACGTGTTCAGTAAACGGGGAGCAGATGCCCTGCCCCCCCACCGCCCGTATGACTGTCCCATTGACCTGTTACCCGGCTCTGAGATTCCTTTTGGGCGAATTTTTCCCCTATCGGAACTCGAATTGGGGGCCCTGAAGGAATACATTGAGGACAGTCTCCAGAAGGGTTCATCCGTCCCTCCACTTCGCCAGCAGGGCGGGGATCTTCTTCGTGGAAAAAAAAGACAAATCTCTGAGACCATGTATAGACTACCGGGAGCTGAACAGGTTACGATTAAAAAAATCGTTACCCATTACCGTTAGTGCCAGAGTTATTTCAGAGCCTGAAGACTGCGGTCATATTTACTAAACTTGAAGATCTAAGGGGGCGTACAACCTAGTTCGCATAAGGGAGGGGGACGAGTGGAAAACCGCGTTCCGTACACGATTTGGGCACTTTGAATACCTGGTCATGCCATTTGGTCTGTGCAATGCACCAGCCACATTTCAGCATTTCATAAACGATATTTTTTTAGGGATTACCTGGACATTTTCGTTATCGTTTACCTGGACGATATACTGATTTTTCTCATCCTCCCTGAAGGATCACAGGATACATGTGGCAAGGGTGTTGGGGCGGTTACGTCAGCATGGGTTATACGCCAAGGCAGATAAGTGTTGCTTTGAGCAACCTAGCATTACGTTCCTGGGGTTGATTATCTCCACCGCGGGGGTCGCAATGGACCCTCAGAAAGTCTCGGCGATTTTGGAGTGGCCGTACCCGCGGACAAGAAGGGCGTCCAGCGGTTTATATCGGTTTTGCGAATTTCTACCGGAAGTTCATTAAGAACTTCTCGGGTCTGGTCTCCCCCATAACTCAGTTGACCAAGCTTGGAACCCGGTTCAGATGGACGCCGGAGGCTCAGGAAGCCTTTGAGGCCTTGAAGAAACTCTTTACCTCGGCACCCATTCTGGGCCACCCGGACGCTGCCCTGCCATACATCTTGGAAGTAGACGCTTCAGAGAATGCGGTGGGGTCCATCCTGTCCCAGCGAAAGGGCACCAAAGAGTTGCTCCATCCTGTAGTGTTCTTCTCAAGAAAACTTACCCCAGCAGAAAAGAACTACGATATCGGCGATCGAGAGTTGTTGGCCATCAAAACAGCTCTCGAAGAATGGAGGTACCTGCTGAAAGGTGCCTCGCACCCCCATCTTGATCTTCACTGATCACAAGAATCTCGAGTACCTAAGGACCGCCAAACGCTTACGCCCACGGCAGGCAAGATGGGCATTGTTCTTCTCCAGGTTCATTTTTCACATCACGTATAGGCCCGGATCTAAAAATACGAAACCTGATGCACTATCTCGCATGTTTGAAGACTCCAAAGAAGATCCGGTACCTGATACGATTCTGTCTGCAGGAAATTTCTTGGCGCTCCAGACGGACCTTCGGTCCAAACTATATTGGACGCATCCACGGGCCGCGTCAGTCCCAGTTGGTGTGTCCCTCCAGAACAAGGGGGGACGCTCCTATGGAAGATGGGTTGGTCATGGTCCCTGAAGAGGTCCGGACCCTTGTCCTGGGACATTGCCATGACCACCCGATGGCGGGACACTTTGGGCCCAGCCAAGACCCTGGAGCTTCTCCAACGCTCTTTTTGGTGGCCAAGTATGGCCAAGGATTGTAAAACTCTATGTAAGATCCTGTACCGTCTGCCAGAAAAACAAGCCATCGAGGAACAAAGGCTTGGGGACTGCTGCGTCCCTTGCCGATTCCTGAACGACCGTGGCAAGGGATCGCAATGGACTTTATAGTCGAGCTCCCCCACCGTCCCAAGAACACACCGCGATCTTCGTGGTCATCGATCGATTATCGAAAATGGCTCACTTTGTACCATTGAGGAGGACTCCGTCTGCGTCCGAGACTGCGCGAATATTCATCCAGGAAATCGTAAAGGTTACATGGAATCCCGGAGGACATCGTCGTCTCGGATCGCGGGGTCCAATTTACATCTAGATTTTGGAGGGCCCTGTGCAAGGCCCTGGATATCAAGTTGTCCCTCTCCTCTGCTTTCCACCCTCAGACCAACGGACAGACCGAGAGGACAAACCAGACCCTAGAACAATACTTGCGTTGCTACACATCCTTCCTTCAAGATAATTGGTTACCACTGTTACCTTTAGCGGAATTTGCATATAACAACGCAAGCCATTCAGCGACAGGGCAATCTCCGTTCTTCTCTAATTACGGATTTCACCCTGTCTTTCTTCCTGATTTGGTCTCTGAGTGCCCAGTTCCGGCAACGCAAGACGCATTAAACTTCTTCTCCTCGAACAACAAAGTACTACAGGAAGCCATCGCTCGGGCCCAGGAGGATAACAAGAATGCATATAACAAGAAAGAAACGAAGAGGGAATCTGGTGCTGAAGCCTGTGTATAAGGTCTGGTTGGCAACAACCAACTTGAGAATGCTTTGTCCCTCAAAGAAATTGGGACCTAAATTCGTGGGGCCTTTTTGTGTGAAGCGAATGGTCAACGAGGGTGGCATATGAACTTACCCTCCCTGAAACATTCAGAATTCATCCTGTTTTCCCACGTGTCCTTACTTAAACCTGTGATCCCGGATGCCTTCCCAGAACGTGAATCCAGACCTCCGGAGGCCATAACGGTGGAGGGACAAGAAGAATATGAGGTGGAAACGATCCTGAAGTGCCGAAGAAGGGGGGGCCAGACCCAATTTCTTATAAAATGGAAGGGCTATGGCCCCGAGGACAATTCTTGGGAACCAGCCCATAATGTCCATGCACCCAGACTTGTCCGGCGGTTTCTTCTTCGTGACCACCCGTGGTGGAGAGATCGGGGTGGGCATCCGGAGGTTGCCCGTAGGGGGGGGGCAATGTCAGGGATCCCCTCGATCCCCGCCGCGATGGTCCCGGCGCAGGCGCAGTATGCCGCCCTGTGCAGGGACGCGGGCTCTAGGTCCGGGCTGGCCGCGGCGCGTGAGTTCGCGCATGCGCAATAGGAGCCGCGGCCGCCCGCTGGGCACCAATGGCAGCGCAGGGCGCGATATTTAAAACGGCCCTGAGCTGTCATTCAGTGCCTTCTGGTCTTGTCCTTGCCCTGTATCCTGTATCTGAACCTGAACCTGTAAGTTGCTGACCCGGATTGTACCTGACCACTGCTGAATTCTCCTGCCCAGACCCTTGCTTTGCCTGACCTCTCTCCGTATGTCCCCTATTGGATTTGACCTACTGTTGATGACCTGGCGTGTGACCCGACTATTCTCTGCCCGCTGCCTTGTACCGTGCTGTCCTCCCCGTTACCGACCCGGCTTGCCTGACTCTGCACTTGCTCATCATCCATCCATCCATCCATTCCTCTCAGCGGGGTTCCCAGACCTCCTCATATCAGGCTCTCTCCCGTGGGAGCCCCTGGCGACCACCCCTACCACTGACGGGTGCCCTCAGTAAGCACGACCTGGTCCCGGGGTACTCCAAGTCCATCCCCACCATCAGGGGCTCTGGTGAACAAGTACTCTGGGACTTAGACTCCGTGCGCTGGGGACGCCTGATTAGTGGAGTGCTAGTGGTGTCGCCAGGCGGTCCCTTACACCCTGCTATCTACCGCATGTCAGTACCCTGTTCCCACTCGCTGCACCTATCCTGCCTTTAACCCTGTAAAGAAGCCCTCTGTAGCAACTGTTCCCTCCCCTGTTCCATCCTCCAGCTCTTCTCTGTCTCCAGCTGCTCCATCCGTTTACAAACCTGCGCTTACTTACGGTGCTCCGGTAACTAAAACCAGGAAAAGGCGAAAGTTCTTTCCAACCAATACCATCCTGCCAGTATCCAAACCAGTCAGCCTCCCATCTGAGAACCTGCCTTCCGTGGTGCAGCCTGGTGCCTCGGCGCCCACAATTCAGCCTGATGATGCCTCTAACCAGCCTGATGCCTCTACCCAGCCTGATGCCTCTAACCCAGCCTGATGCCTCTAACCAGCCTGATGCCTCTACTAACCAGCCTGATGCCTCTACCAGCCTGATGCCTCCATTCCTCAGCCTGTTCCTCTACCCATTCAGCCAGTTGCCTCTACCCATTCAGCCTGTTGCCTCCATTCAGCCTGTTGCCTCTACCCAGCCTGTTGCCTCCATTCAGCCTGATGCCTCTACCCAGCATGATGAACTGATCCAGCCTGATGATTCCATTAGGCCAGTTGACTCGATGCCCGCTGTCGATCCAGACAATCCGGTACCTGATAACCCAGTACCCGCTGTCATGCCTGGTGACCCGATGCCCGCTGTCGAGCCAGACGATCCAATGCCTGATGACCCAGTGCCCGCTGTCATGCCTGGTGACCTGATGCCGCTGTCGGGCCAGACGATCCAATGTCTGACCCAGTGCCCGCGGTCATGCCTGTGACATGTCCTGGTGACTCGGTGCCCACTGCCTTGCCAGATGACGCGGTGCCCGCTGGCAAGCCAAATGACCTGATGCCTGGTGACCCAGTGCCCGCTGTCATACCTGGTGACCCGTTGCCCGCTGTCGAGCCAGACAATCCCATGCTTGATGACCCAGTGCCCACTGTCATGCCTGGTGACCCGATGCCCGCTGTCGGGCCAGACGATCCAATGTCTGACCCAGTGGCCGCGGTCATGCCAGTTGACTCAGGGCCCACTGTCGTGCCTGGTGACTCGGTGCCCACTGCCTTGCCAGATGACGTGGTGCCCGCTGGTGAGCCAAATGACCTGATGCCTGGTGACCCAGTGCCAGCTGTCATGCCTGGTGACCCGATGCCCGCTGTCGAGCCAGACGATCCAATGCCAGATGACCCGGTGCCCGCTGTCGATCCAGACGATCCGGTACCTGATGACCTGGTGCCCGCTGTCGTGCCAATTGACTCAGAGCCCACTGTCGTGCCTGGTGATTCAGTGCCCACTGCCTTGCCAGATGATGCGGTGCCCGCTGTCGAGCCAAATGACCTGATGCCTGGTGACCCGATGCCTGCTGTCGAGCCAGACGATCCAATGTCTGACCCAGTGCCCGTGGTCATGCCAGTTGACTCGGAACCCACTGTCGTGCCTGGTGACTCGGTGCCCACTGCCTTGCCAGATGACGCGGTGCCCGCTGGCGAGCCAAATGACCTGATGCCTGGTGACCCGATGCCCCATTGACGTGCCTGATGACCCGGTGCCCGCCGCTCCGCCTGGGGGCCCGGTGCCCGCCGCTCCGCCTGGGAACCCGGCGCCCGTCGCCTCCTCCTGGGGGCCCGGTGCCTGCCGCCCCTCCTGGGGGACCGGTGCCTGCCGCTCCGCCTGAGGGCCCAGCGCCCGCCGCCCCGCCTGGGGGCCCGATGCCTGGGGGCCCGATGCCTGTCGCCCCGATGCCTGTCACGGCGCCCGCCTGGGGCCTGGGGCCCGCCGCTCCGCCTGGGGGCCCGATGCCTGTCCGCTCCGCCTGGGGGCCCGATGCCTGTCGCCCGCCTGGGGGCCCGATGCCTGCGCTCCGCCTGGGGGCCGATGCCTGTCGCCCCCACCTGGGGGCCCGATGCCTGTCGCCCCGCCTGGGGGCCCCGATGCCTGTCGCCCCGCCTGGGGGCCCGATGCCTGTCGCCCCGCCTGGGGGCCCGATGCCTGTCGCCCGCCGCCCGTCCTGGGGGCCCGATGCCTGTCGCCCCTCCTGGGGGCCCGATGCCTGTCGCCCCGCCTGGGGGCCCGACGCCTGTCGCTCGCCTGGGGGCCTGGCACCCCGGGGGGCCTGGTGCCCCACCTGGGGGCCCGATGCCTGTTGCCCGCCTGGGGGCCCGATGCCTGTTGCCCCTCCTGGGGGCCCGGTGCCTGTCGCCCCTCCTGGGGGCCCGATGCCTGTCGCCCCTCCTGGGGGCCCGGTGCCTGTCGCCCCTCCTGGGGGCCCGGTGCCTGTCGCCCCTCCTGGGGGCCCGGTGCCTGCTGCTCTACCTGGTGGCCCGGTGCCTGCTGCTCCGCCTGGTGATCCGGTGTCCAGCTTGATGTGCCTCTGCCCGGAGTCCAGCTCGATGTGCCTCTGCCCGGAGTCCTGCCCGGAGTCCCTGCCCAATGTGCCGCTGCCCGGAGTCCTGCCCGATGTGCCGCTGCCCGGAGTCCAGCCCGATGTGCCTCTGCCCGGTCCTGCCCGATGTGCTCAAGCTCCCGATGTGCCTCTGCCCGAGCCCGATGTGCCGCTGCCCGGAGTCCTGCCCGATGTGCCGCTGCCCGGAGTCCTGCCCGGTGTGCCGCTGCCCAGAGTCCTGCCCGATATGCCAGTCTTTGATATCCCGCCAGTTACCAGACCCGGGCGGTGGAACATTTTGCCCAGCTAGGGACTGTTTGGAGCGTCCTGAGGCCACTCCTTGAGGGGGGGTACTGTCAGGAATGGACTTGCCAGTAATGGTGGGACTCACCTGCCTTGTGGGCTGCAATACCAGGGCTGGCCAGCGGGTGCTCTCAGCAATCAGAGACTCAACCCTGCAGCCAGCCAAACACCTGAAGTTGATTATGCAGGTGTATTTAAGGGATGGCCAGACCTGCAGTCTCTGCCTTGGTGTGTGTTTTTTTCCTGGGCCCTGTATCTTGTTCCTGCATCCCTGTCCCTGTCCCTGTTCCTGTTCCTGTCTCTGTCTGATTCGTTGCTGACCCTGCCTGATCCGGACCTCTGCTGACTTCTCCTGTTTTATCCCTGGCTTGTGACCCCGACCATTCTCTGCCTGACCCCCTGTACCTACCTGCCCGATTGTTATTGACCCGGCCTGCCTGACGACGCTTGCATTGTATGTACTGTTATCTGTGGGTGATTTGGTTCGTTTGCACTGTGTTATGTTTTAGTATTGCACTGCATTTATGTTTGTATTGTTAGTCTTTAATAAATTATATTGTTTATAACTTATCTGAAGCCTGCGTTTCCCTGCGTCAATTCACATACCTCTGGTCTTACCCGGGGAGCCCTGACACACTGCTTTGCATGGCTGTGCTGTGCACAGCCATGCAAAGTAGTGTGCAGGAGCTGACAGGGAGAGAACTGTTTTTTGTTTACAAACAGTTCTCTCCCTGGTCGGAGATGCTCAGCAATCACTGGGTGCCGGCTAGTAATTTTGACAGCTGAGGCCGCGAATGGCGAAACGGGTAGGGTGAGCTCGCATGCCCCCTACCCAGAAATGCAAAATCACATATATACGTGATTTTGCGCACCCGTGCCACCCTGTAGCAGTACTTCTGCTATAGGGCGGACGGGAAGCTGTTAAAAAAAACTACCTTGAATTACATTGTTCCAAATATTCACTTAGTAGGGGAATAACAGCAGTGGTAGCAAACCATTGCACTGCTGTTGGACCTCTGAATCTGTCTAAATTCTTTCTGGAGACAGATGCTCCATAGCTGTTAAGGGGTCATTAAATAAAAATGATCCCAAGCATATCCACTGTTATGCTAGTTTTTATACTGAATTACACACAAGGAAGTTTCCTACAATAGCAGATGGAGAGTTCAGAGCAACCTTTACAGTTAGGGATATGCAAATATTTCATATTTTTCCAAATAGATGACCAAAACTGCACTGAGTATTCTACGTTTAGTATTTGAAAAAGCAATATCACACAGTCCAACGCCTGTCTTCTGTTTGCCAATGTTCATCCTTTTTTTAAAGATATCTAGGGGCAAGACAAGAAATAGTGCAATGCACACACAGTACAGTTCACCTAGTCTTGTACAATTGTAGGTACCTAAATCAGGCAAAGACAAATGCTAGAGCAGATCAAAACTACACCCAAAAGCAACAACAAAAACAGTATAAGGGTTAGTTCACATTAGATGCAGTCCAGTGTTTTCCATGTATTCCATTGGCCCTAGTTCACACCAGCGCAGTCAGTTCCAGTCAGTTTCCGTGCATTTGTTATGCACAGAAGTATACTGGAGCATAGCAAACTGCATCAAAACTGCACCGGAACGGAGTGTGATGTGAACCGTAAGCCAAAACATATCCAAAATGCATCCGGAGTGCGTTTTTGTGGTGTGAACTGGACCTAATCTAGAGATTTAAAGCAGATAGCGTCCATCCTAAATATTATTATTGATATAAATATTATGATGTTATAAGAAAAATGCTAAACATCAGCAGAATTACAAAGCCATCTCTCTTCACCTTTTCCCCTTTGTTAGTGACACACATTAGGTGAGACATTGATTAGCCACAGAGCCATTAAACATAGACAAGTTAGTAATTAGCAGAATGAGTTGGCAACCCTGAGCAGTCATTACAATATTTTTGAAAATACTTGATATATTCACTGAAATAAATGTACACTGTATAAAGTATCTCGGATTCTCTTGATAATTTCAAATCTATAACTCAAACATTTTGCTTTTACCAAAATGCCCATGGACTAGGTATAGAACAATTTTATTGAGGTTATAAAGAAAAATGTAATAATTAGGTATTACATGATACAGTATATGCGATTAGTCCACTCTGTCATTCTTTGCAAGTAATCTCTTGTGTTTATGCCTGGCCAGCATTATTCATTTTATAGTTTTATTCTCATATTTGTCTCACTACCCACTTAGGAGTCGCTAAAAGATTTGGGTCCCAATATAGTCCTGCACAGCCAGGCATCATGCATCTGCACACAGTCTTGCATTGAGAGTCAGAAATCAGTCCTTGAGCTTTGGTTTTGTTGTTTTATTGAGGAGATTTGAACTGGGATAGTGTTAAGGGTGTACAGGATGCCCAAGGGAACTGATAAACTGAGGACGACTTCCTGAAACTATTTACCAGCCTTCACTGCAACAGTCTCTGTTGGAGAGCTAGCCAGCGTCTCCTTAATGTACCACCCCAGACCCTAGATGATTTTCATCCAGCAATCTGGAGGTATCTCTGAATAGGGAATCTGGTTCCTGTCAATTTAAGAGATGAACAGTCATTGTTAGGTGACTAATCTTCCCACCAGGGAGCTCCTTCCCCTATCTGCTCAGGGGGTGCAGGTGTACTCACTCAGATCCTCTCCTGTACCGCTGGTGGGTTGGTGGTTGCTACCAGGCCTATCAGCTGGGCACCTCCTTCCCTGCTGAACAGGTGGTCCTCTCTCAGGGGGCCGGTGAGGTCTGAGTTTTCCTCCTTTCCAGCTCCAGGCCTGCAGGTAGGCCCCATCCTACTGGGCTTCCTTACAGCCTCCTGCCTTCCTTCACCCTCACATCTTCCTCACTTTCTTCCATCCAAACTCTCCTGCAACTGAGCAGACTCCAACACTATTAAGGGTATCCCAGCCCCTTGCCAAGCCTTCTATTAGGGATTGGCTAGGTTCCCTCAAGAGTACAAGTAAGCCACTCCCCAGATCCACCTATTGCCTCTAGGCCTTCCTTCAAAGATCTAGAGCAGGGGGAAATTCCAGAGGGGCTGGCCTGCAGAGCCTCTCAGCTCCTGACCGCAATTTAACCTTCTGGCTATCAAACCCAGGCTGCTACTCACCCCCTCTTCCCTATCAATTGAACACTAGCTCCTCCTAGCTAGCAATGAGAGTGCTACATATTCAAAGGAGTTTACAAGTTCATAAATTTCTCCTCCGACATAAGCACACACCTGTGTATGTACTTATACACTGATTGTAGAATTAAATGTCATATACACCAATCAGCCAAAACATAACCATTGGCATAAGTAATAATATTGATTATTTTGGTACAATGGTATCTGAAAGTGGGTGGGATATATTAGGCAGCAAGTGAACATGTTGTCTCTGAAGTTGATGTGTTGACAGCAGAAAATCTGGGCAAGTGTATAGATTTCAGCAACTCTGAGAAGGGTCAAATTGTACTGGCTAGACAACTGGATCAGAGCAAGTCCAAAACTGAAGCTCTTGTAAGATATTCCTTGTCTAAAGTGGTCAGAACCTACCAAAAGTGGTCCAAACATTGCAAATATGTTGCAGTTGGCTGCCCAGGAATACAGGCACAGAGGTTGCTAATACATTTGGTGACTAGCGTGTACAGTGTATTTGAAACCTGTGCATCTAAATTCCTGGACAGCCAACTGGAGCAGAATCGCAAGGTCTGCAACAGATTTATTTACTGAAGATGAAACAGATCTTCACTCTCAGGGCCATCTTTAATGTGGGGCAAAAGGGACAGCTGTCCTGGACCCAGTCATTATTGTGGGGCCCAAGGCAGTTGCTCCTTGAGCCCCTTGTCATGGAGAGTCCGGTGGCAGCGGGAGGCAGGACAGCTTAATCTGGTGCCAACAGAAGCATCCTTAGCGTGCAGGCAGGATGATAGCACCTTGCTCCACAAGGCAATCGGGCAGCCCTGGAGACAGGCCATGGGGAACGCTAGCAGCACAAGTGTGGCTAGGACTGAGAGCCCGGGAGGGAGAAGACCTTCACCACCTCCCTGACTGAGGTGAGCAGCAGTGGGTGCAGCATCCCTGGCACCTCCCAAAGACTGGACTCCTTATTCAACCTCCTCTCCGTTCCCAGCTCCGACATCGGCAGGAACTCAGGGTGACCGGTGGCCCTGTACAGAGGATGAGGACTGGCTGGAGGTGGAGTCTCTCTGTTTCTCACTCTCCCTCTCTGTCACTCCACCTCTCTCTCCCCCATCCCTTTCTCTCTCCCCCCCTACCTCACCCCCTCCCCCTCTCTCCCCCCCCTCTCTCCCCTCTCTCATCCTCCCCCCCCCCTCTTCATCCCTCTCTCTCTCACCTCTCCTCTCTCTTTCATCCCCCCTCTCTCTCTCATTCCCCCTCTTTCTTTCTCTCACTCCACCTCTTTGTCTCCCCCCCCTCTCGCTCCCTTCCTCCCCCTGCTCCTTTTCTCTCACTCACCCCCCCTCTCTCCCCCCTCCTCCCTCACCTTTCCTCTCTCTCTCCCCCCCTCTCTCACCCCTCTTTCTAACCCCCCTCTCTCTGACCCCCCTCTCTCTCCCCCCCCCCCCCCCCCCCTCTCCCCCTTTCCCCCCCCCCCCTCGCTCACTCCCCTTCTCTCTTATCCCCCCTCTCCCCCCCTCTCTCTCTCTCTCGCACTTCTCCTCTCTCCCCCCTTTTCACTCACCCTCTCTCCGTCCCCCTCTCTCACCCCCTCTCTTTTTTTCTCACTCCCCCTCTCTGTCACCCCCCCTCTCGCTCTCTCCTTCCCCCCTCCTCTCTTTCTGTCTCTCACCCCCCACCCCCCCCTTCTCACCCCCCTCTCTCTCTCTCCTTCTCTCTCAAACACCTCTCTCTTCCCACTCCCCCTCTTTCTCAGTCATCTCTCTCACCCTACCTCTCTCTCCCCATCCCCCCCCCCTCCCCTTCTTCTCTTACCCCACTTCCTCTATCTTACCCTTATTTCACTCCCCCTTTTTGTCCCCCCATTTACCCCTCTCTCTCCCCCCCTCCCCTTTATTTCACCCCTCTCTTTTTCTCACTCCCCCCCCTCTCTGTTTCTCACTCCCCCTCTCTCACTCCCCCCCCCTCTCTCTCTCCATCCACCCTCTCCCATCCCCCCCCCCTCCCCCCCCCTCTCCCCCTCTCTCCCCCCCCATCTTTATCCCCCCTCCTCTCTCATGCCCCCTTTCACCCCCTTTCTCCCCCTCTCACTTTATCACTGCACCTTTACAGTACCCCCCACTCCCCTCTCTCTCCCTCCCCCCCTCCCCTCTCTCTCTCACACACCCCTCTCTCACCCCTCTCTGTTTCTCACTCCCCCCCTCTCTGCCACCCCCACCCCATCTCTTTCCCTACATCCCTCCCCCTCCCTGCTGTCTCTCTCACGCCCCCTCCTTCTCCCTTTCTCTGTCTCTCTCTCCTGCCACTCCCTCTCTATCACCCCCCTCTCTCTATCACTCCCCCTCTCTCTTATCCCCCATCTCACCCCTCTCTCTTTCTCACTCCCCCTCTCTGCCATCCCCCACTCCTTCTCTCTCTCTCTCTCCCCCCTCCTCTCCTTTTCTCTCTCTTTCTCACACCCCTCTCTCTTTCTCACTCCCCCTCTCTTTTTCTCACTCCCATCTCTATCACCCCCCCTCTCTCTCTCCCCCTTCTCTCACTGCCCAACTCCCTATCTCTCATCCCCCTGCTCTCTCTCTCACCCCCCTCTATCACCCCCTTCTCTCTGAAACCCCCTCTCTCACCCCTCTCTTTCTAACTCCCCTCTCTCTTACCCCCCTCTCTCACCCCCCCTTGCATGCAGATGGGGGAAACCGAGTGGATACTGACTGACAGGTGACAGAAAGTGAGTATTATTGATCCTATGCCCCCAGCACTGTCACACATCCCATCCCCCCACAACACTGCCACTAATCATACCTTCTCCCCCTGCAGCCCTAGCTGGGTGAGCAGTAATGATGTGCTGTAACCTCTAGCAACCAATCAACAAGCATAAATGATGTGTTGTAACCTCTAGCAACTAATCAGTGAGCCATAATGTGTGCTGTAACCTCTAGCAACCAGTTAACGAGCTGTAACCAGTGGTGTATTTACGTTTTGTGCTGCCCTAGGCAACACAAAAATCGTCTGCCCCCATGGACAAAAAAACCGACCAACACAATCCCCCCTTCCCCCTCCTGCAGAGAGAGCCTGCCTGCATTGACCAACAGTACCCCTTCCCCCCAACCCAGGAGAGCCTTCCACTATCTCCCCCCCAGCGATAGAGACACTCATCTTCACAGCTCCACACATCACCGGGAACAAGAGCCAGGCTCTACATACACCATCAAGCAAGCCGCAGCCTCTCTCGGATTCCACCTGGTTCCCATAGTGCGCTTGTCCCTTTTTTCATCCCTTCTTCTGGAGGGAGGTGCTGGCCCCCTGAAAAATGCCACCCTAGGCAAATGCCTTGTTTGCCTTGTGGCAAATATGCCCCTGGCTGTAACCCCTGGCAAGCAATCAGAATCGCTGCTTGATCTGCTGCAGTAAACTGATATTGAATCTAGCTGCTATTTATTGTATGTCTTAGATCAACTTGAGAGCAAAATTGCATGTGAGCAGGGGGAGGGGGGTGGAGGGGCCCAAAAAAAAGTGTTTGCCCAGGGTCCAATGAATATTAAAGACGGCCCTGTTCACTCTTTGTAGTGCAAATTTAGAAACGACAGAAGAGCATGACTAAAAATCTAACCTTGTAATAAGTCTGTCATACAATCTGTCTTAATGCTTTTTTTTAGCATTAGCTTGCTGTCCATCAATGTACAAAGTATAAGTAAAAGGCAGCTTGCTTCTAACTGTGTTGCTAATTTTCTTTAGAAATGTCCCCAAATGTATACTCATCAAACAAAATATAGTGCAATATAGTGTGAATGGATCCTAAAATTAATGAATCAATTCATGGGATATTTTATGGTAAGAATGACCTGGACTGCTAATGAATTATTGCATAATTACATCTCTTAAGTATTCCCATGTTAAACAAAATCATCTTTCTCCTAGGATTCCTTAAGGCTTATAAAAGTAGTGGCTAGGGGACACATTGCCAAAAGAGACACTGGCTGAATCCTGCGTAATGTCACAGTTTGGTTTTTAGAAAATATATGGGTAATTTATCTCAGTGAATACATGAAATATTTAAAATAAATAGAATAGATCTTTCTCTGGGTCAATAACCAATTGTCCAATAACTTATTATTCTTTCCTACCAGATTGCCATGATTATAATCATTTACCAATACTGTTATATTTGCTGCAAGAAAAAAAGTGAATACTCCTTTAAGAGGTGAAGGATGATATACCAAGCATATCTTTTATGAAAGAAATAATATACATATTACAGTAGTAGTGATAAACAGAGCAGATAAACACTGGATAAGGGTCCAAATATTATTACTATTATTATAATTATTCTTATTATTATTTTACAGGATTTATATAGCGCCAACAGTTTATGCAACACTTTACAACATAAGGGCAGACAGTACAAATATTACAATACAAATGAATACAGGAGGATTCAGAGGGACCTGCTCGTTAGAGCTTACAATCTAGCAACATTGTCCACAAAAGAGCAATGTCATCAAACAAGACTTTTTTAGGACATTCCTAAAATAAACATGTTATTCAGCACCAGTGTGAACTATTCTCTTTGTCTGTATTATTTTGTAACATGACTGATGGATAAATGGATGGTAAGAATTCATCTCTCCTGGCAGAATTCATTCTTAAAGGACTTCCATGTGTGGATGAGTTACGGATCCCCCTCTTTCTGCTTCTCACTGTTATCTATATTTCCACTTTAATTGGAAATGTCCTCCTTATTAGCACAGTTAAAAGAACTCCATCTCTTCATCATCCAATGTATTTCTTTCTGACAAACCTGTCATTTCTGGACATCTGCCTGTCTTCAGTCACCTTACCCAAGTTACTGGAAAACACATTGTCCAGGAAAACGATTCCCTTCAGTGGTTGTGTCTCCCAGCTGTACTTCTTCCATTTCTTGGCAAGTTCTGAGTGTTTTCTGTACACCGTCATGGCCTATGATTGCTATGTGGCCATATGTCAACCCCTACACTATAACAGGCTGGTGAGCTGGCGGGTTTGCATGTGCCTTGCCTTTGGATCCTGGTTGGCTGGGTCTCTGCACTCCATTACCCATACCGTGTTAACTTTCCACCTGCCTTTTTGTCACTCCAATGAGATAGACCATTTTTTCTGTGATATAATCCCAGTGCTGAAACTGGTCTGTGCAGACACCTCGATCAACAAAACTATGATATTGGTTAATATTGCAGCAATCTCCCTAAGCTGCTTCCTTCTGATCATGACTTCTTACATAAATATTATAATAGCCATAATAAAAATAAAAACAGTGGATGGAAGGAAAAAGGCGTTTTCCACTTGTGTGTCTCATGTAACAGTGGTAGCACTGTTTTATATCCCTTGTGTTTTCACTTACATGCGTCCTAACTCGAGATCTACTTTTGATGGGGCGGTAGCTGTTTTTTACACACTGATCACTCCTTTACTAAACCCCATTATATATAGCCTTAGAAACAAAGAGGTGAAGGAAGCTTTAAATAAATTTCTATGTTAACTTGAATCATATACCATTGGCTATACCCAGCTCTCCTGTGACCTCTCCAGCAGATGGTGTCTATATGACTGTTTGGTGTGGTCCCTCTTGTGTCCCTTGGGGCAATTAGATGGTGATACTAAACTCTGGATCATTTGAGGTGAGTAAGTTTGCAGATGAGTTTTTCTTGGACTCCTTAGTCCCTTTTGGAGGGAGGTCTTCATTGCAACCATTTCCCTCTTTTGGTTCATCTTGGACTCCCCTGGGGATATAGAAGTTTTGCTTTTTTGCTGGGTTTTCCATATATGAAGATACATCTATTTCTCCCAGTGGCAATTATATACAACTATCTGTAAATCTCTTGAAGAAGCCAGAAATTTGGCAAAGACAAAAGTCCATCTAGTTCAACCATTAATAAAAAAAAAAGTTATAATCCTACACCCACAGTTGATCTAGAGGAAGGCAAAAAAAACCAGGAAAGCACATGTCAAGTTGGAATTGTGTGAACTTCAAGCCAAATGGCGTATTCTGTTGGTTTTAAATTTCTTACAACTACTAAAGTGATGTTGTTTTTTACATGACAATATGGAATAAAGCTTTGTATGATTTTAGTACAGTATCAAATGTTTGAAGTCTATGGAGCATCTTAAAAATCCCCTCCTCTCTGTAAAATTCACTTTACTTTGCAAATACAGCATAAAAAAGGAATACTTAGCACAGCTGTGTCTGAGCATACTAAAAGATGGTGTACATTTTAAATTAATTGTATTTAATTATTTTTACATAGTTAGTCTGGCTGAAAAAAGACAAATCTCTCCAGTTCAACCATTAAAAAAAAAAAAAAAAAAAATTATAATCCTACACCCACAGTTGATCCAGAGGAAGGCAAAAAAAACTGAGCTGGCCAGCAAAGCACATGTCAGGTTGGAATTGTGTGAACTTCAAGTCAAATGGAGTATCCTATTGGTTTTAAATTTCTTACAACTACTAAATGTGATGTAGTTTTTTTACATGACAATATGGAATAAAGCTTTGTATGATTTTAGTACCATATCAAATGTTTGGAGTCTGTGGAGCACCTTAAAAATCCCCTCATCTCTGTACAGTGTTGGATACTTAGTATATGGGATGTGGTGCTAGCTGATCTCCAACCCACCTGAAACAAGACATAAAATCGAATCATATACCAGTTTATTATATCAAATAATGACATTGTTGTTATATGATTTATAGCAGAAGTATGTCCAAAGCTATTTTGGCCCTACTTCTCCTAGGGATCACAGGAGAGCACTTAATTCTATACTCATTTTACCTATTTTCAGTCGACAGCATTCTAAAGCCCACTGACGGCTGATGTCACTCAGCTGGTCCAGGCTCTGGATCAATCCCAACTTTACAATTGAGATCCACCCAGATGCCTGTACTGGCAGCTGGCTCAGCCTCTCAGCAAGCCACTGAGAGCCTGAGCCAGCCCTTCCTGCCCCCTCCACAGCCTGGTGCTCCAGTGAGCACCGGAGGAGCAGAGCAGAGAGCTTATGACTGACAGTCACCACTCTCTGCTAACTGAACACTGAGAACCAAATGATCATCGGTCTTTGATCACTCAGTTCTCAGTCTAAGAAGCAGCAGGGAACAGCTGCAGCATTGGACTGATGCTGCATCCACCTAAGTGCGTATGATTGCTTTTTTTTTTTTTTTTTTTAAAACAAACCCCATTTAATTTATTAAAAAGCTGAATTCTCTGCATATTTGCAAGACATAATTAATGCAGCTTTGTTGTGATTAATAGATCATCAGCTGTTTTTTTTTAAATGCTAGTATCTGAATTTCACTTAGGGTTCCTGTAGCATAGAGTTGGAGTATGAGAGGAAAATGCAGAAACAAGCTGCTTATCCTTTCACGGTCCAATGACAGTCTGGGGAGCATCCAATACCCCTTGGGCTCAGTGCAGATGGGTTCAATGATACTTGCCATCAAACTGATGAAATCTAGTGGAAGAAGAAAAGTACTGCAGCAAAAAAACGTTTGATCAAAGTTGAATAATGCAGCAAAAGCTTGTTTATTTTATCTTTTAATAAGCTATTCAGTGTTATCTTGTATGTTTAGAGAAGTATAGAATTCTTTTTTTTCCTTTGCACATGATTGGGAGTTCAAAATGAACAGAGGTTCTCTCGGATATGTGAAAAATGTCCTTCTTTAGGCAGTTGCAAACTCCAACACTACTCAGAAGTGTCAGAGCTTTGTCTGTAATTCATCTGTAAAACAGGGTACTAGATGCCGATGCACTTCTTGGTGTCTGCACTTTACACATGCAGCAGTTTTTTTTCAATCAAAGAGCCTTCTTATTCTTAAGTATATTCTTACACATGGAATTTGCCTTTAATGTACAATCTTTTTACTATATTGTAAGCCAATAAAACAAATACTAATAAATGTATAATACTTCTAATCAGGGGCGGACTGACCATTTGGAAACTTGGGCACTGCCCAAGGGCCCGGGGTCAGTAGGGGGCTCCATGAGATGCCCCTGGTACCTTTTTCATAGGCTTTTTTGAGTTTGGGCAAGGACATAGGGGCCCCATGATCCCCTATTGCCCAGGGGCCCCATGAGTTGTCAGTCCACCCCTGCTTCCAATGTCTTTTTCACACATTGTAACACAATTTATTTTTTCATTTACCATGGCTCATTCAAACAATTGAAGCTCTAAACATCACTGCAAAGGGCCAAGGGGCAAATTAGTTTTTCTTAGAAGGACTGTAGGAGGTGCTGACTTGAAATGCTGTGTTAAAAAAAGGAAAACAGGGTTCAAAGATTTTCATGCAATATCTCTCTCCCTATGCCAAGCATATCACTTTATCTATACCTACACAACGTAGAAATAACATTGCCCACTAGAGGTCCTCATTGTATAATTGTAGAATGCAAATGTTCAGTAGATCTAAACATTACAGATTGTGTCAACTCTTATTCCTATATTTTTATAGGTAAATGTGCTTTGTAGGAAATTCACTTTTACTTTGCAAATACAGCATAAAAAAGGAATACTTAGCTCAGCTGTGTATGAGCATACTAAAAGATGGTGTACATTTTAAATTATTGTATTTAATTATTTTTACATAGTTACATAGTCTGGCTGAAAAAAGACAAAAGTCCATCCAGTTCAATCATTAAAAAAAAAAAAAAATATAATCCTACACCCACAGTTGATTCAGAGGAAGGCAAAAAAAAATTCAGGAAAGCACGATCCAATTTGCTCCTGCTGGGAAAAAAAAACCCAATCCTGATCCCCTGAGAGGTAATTGGATATTCTCTGGATCAACTTTACCTATAAATGTTAGTATCCAGTTATATTCTGTGTTTCAAGGAAAGAATCCAGGCCTTTTTTAAAGCAATCCACTGAGCTGGCCAGAACCAACTCTTGAGAGAGTCTATTCCACATTTTCACAGCTCTTACTGTGAAGAAACCTTTCCCTGTTTAGAGATTACATTTCTTTTCCTCCAGATGTAAAGAGTGCTCCCTTGTCCTCTGTGATGACCTCAGGGTGAATAACTCTATACCGAGTTCACTATATGAACCACTGATGTATTTATACAGGTTGATCATATCCCCCCTTAATCTCCTCTTCTCAAGAAAGAATACATTCAGTTCCTGTAATCTTTCCTCATAGCTGATCTCCACCATGCCTCTTATCAGTTTGGTTGCCCTTCTTTGTACTTTCTCCACTTCCCCAATGTTCTTTTTGTGAATTGGTGCCCAAAACCGAACTGCATATTCCAGATGAGGTGTTACTAATGATTTGTACAGGGGTAGAATGATATCTCTCTCTCTGTAGTCTATACCTCTTTTAATACAAGAGAGGATTTTGCTCGCTTTAGAAACCGCAGCTTGGCATTGCATGCCGTTATTAAGCTTGTGATCCCAGACCCTAAATTGTTTATAAATATATTAAAAAGTAAGGGTCCCAACACTGAACCTTGGGGTACACCGTTGACAACCCTAGACCATTCAGAGTATGAATCATTAACCACTACTCTCTAAATACGATCTTTTAGCCAGTTTTCTATCCATTTACATACAGATTTTTCCAAGCCCGTAGACTTTACCTTACATTAGCCGTGTGTGGGGAACTGTGTCAAACGCTTTTGCAAAATCCAAGTATACCACGTCCACTGCCACCCCTATGTCCAAGGTTTTGCTCACCTCCTCAAAAAAAGAAATCAGATTTGTTTGACAACTTCTGTCTTTCATGAATCCTTGCTTTTTTCCAGCAAAAACTCATCTATGTGGTCTTTTATTAAGCTCTCCATCAGGGGCGGACTGACAACTCATGGGGACCCCGGGCAATAGGGGTTCATGGGGCCCCTGTGTCCTTGCTCAAACTCAAAAAAGCCTATGAAAAAGGTACCAGGGGCATCTCATGGGGCCCCCTACTGGCCCCGGGCCCTCGGGCAATGCCCGAGTTTCCAAATGGTCAGCCCACCCCTGCTCTCCATTATCTTCCCAACTATAGAAGTTAAACTAACAGGTCTATAATTACTTGGTAAAGATTTTGACCCATTTTTAAATATTGGCACCACATTGGCCTTATGCCAATCCAGTGGTACTATGCCAGTCATTAAAGATTAAAAATTAGAAACAATGGCTTTGAAATGACAGAGCTCAATTCTTTAAGGACCCGTGGGTGTATGCCATCCAGTCCAGGTGCTTTATTCACCTTTATTCTGTCTAAATATTTTTGGAACATATCAGTTGTGAGCCAATGTGTATCGTCTGGGGCTGTGTCAATACCATGCCCATTGTGGACAAGAGCTCCCCCATACTCTTTTGTATACACAGAGCTGAAGAAGGTATTAAATAAATTTGCCTTCTCTTTGCCCCCAGTCACCCACCCTAGATTATTTTGTAAAGAGCCTACATGCTCGGACCGGATCTTTTTACTATTAATATATTTGAAGAATTTTTGGGGGTTGGTCCTGCTATCTTTTGCAATCTGTCACTCGTTTTCAATTTTGCAGCCTT